TCTCCTTCCTTCTCCACTACATGGTTTTCTTTAGCTTTCCTTATCTGCTTTGAAATATGAAAAATTATTAATTGACCTAAATCTGCCTACTGAAACTTCAATCAGATCCTTTAAATTTGACACACTGTTGGCAAACAGATTTTAAGTTTTCTGATGGAGAAAAATTATGATATGGAAAATAAAAATAAAGCACAGCAAGACATACAGTGGGTACGGAAAGTATTCAGACCCCCTTAAATTTTTCACTCTTTGTTATATTGCAGCCATTTGCTAAAATCATTTAAGTTAATTTTTTTTCCTCATTAATGTACACACAGCACCCCATATTGACAGAAAAACACAGAATTGTTGACATTTTTGCAGATTTATTTCCCTGTAAGTGTTTCCAAGTGTTTCCCTTGAAACTGTCTAATTTTCTTTTCACAGCCGTGTTTCCCCTTTCTTCTTCCAGCTGTTCAGAGCAAATAGAAAATTACTCAAGATACTTTTAAAAATGAATGCAAACTTGCATGTGCATTTACAGCAGATTTGGAGAAATTTAGCATTCCATGACTTGCTCACTGATGGATCCTTTGTAGTGAATGGGTGCCGTCAGGATGAGAGTCCAAAAAGCTGATAAAAATGTGAAAAACTTGTTGCATCTTTCCCAAAAAGACTCATGGCTGTATTAGATCAAAAGGGTGCTTCTACTAAATACTGAGCAAAGGGTCTGAATACTTAGGACCATGTGATATTTCAGTTTTTCTTTTTTAATAAATCTGCAAAAATGTCAACAATTCTGTGTTTTTCTGTCAATATGGGGTGCTGTGTGTACATTAATGAGGAAAAAAAATTAACTTAAATGATTTTAACAAATGGCTGCAATATAACAAAGAGTGAAAAATTTAAGGGGGTCTGAATACTTTCCGTACCCACTGTATGTGTAAAACGTGCACCTTCTCCCTGTAAGTGTTTCCAAGTGTTTCCCTTGAAACTGTCTAATTTTCTTTTCACAGCCGTGTTTCCCCTTTCTTCTTCCAGCTGTTCAGAGCAAATAGAAAATTACTCAAGATATTTTTAAAAATGAATGCAAACTTGCATGTGCATTTACAGCAGATTTGGAGAAATTTAGCATTCCATGACTTGCTCACTGATGGATCCTTTGTAGTGAATGGGTGCCGTCAGGATGAGAGTCCAAAAAGCTGATAAAAACATCACAATAATCCACATGATTTATATAAACAAATTCACCATTAAGACATTTTCCACTGTAAACCATTCCCTCTGGCTAAAATGCCTCTATCCTTAATATTGCTTGCTTTCTCAAATGAAAAAGTCATCTAGTCTGATTCAGGAGAGAAATATGCACAGATCAAGCACTGTTTACAAGCAAAAACAGTCCAAAATCATTCTAAACAAATATGTCAGTGGATTTTGATGTGAAAGGTTATGGACTTTTTAATGTTTTTTATGGATTATGGACTTGTATTTTGGCCACATGCAATGGTTTAAAGTTAAAATGCTTTAATGATGGATGTGTTTCTTATAAACACACAGCTTTTTGCTTGACAAGTAGTTAAATCATGACAACTCTCTGAACATTTTAGCATGGTGATGGATATGATAATGTTAATGTATTTGGTCTTGGCGGAACAGATCTGCTACGCTGCTGCTGAATTGCTACTGCTGTTGGTTATTGCTGTAGTTGTAGATTATTGCTGCTGCTGCAAGCAAGTACAGGAACTTGTTACTGCCAATGCATATGGCGATACGGTGCCATGAGTATTTAAGACATACTGCTGCTGCACAAATAGCATATAAAATAACCCCATAGCAGATCTATACAGGTGGAGCTGGGGAAGGTGGAGGGTTTCAGAGAACTCTGAAAGCGCACTGCAGGAATCTCAAGTGAATGCTAGCCAGCCATATAAATGCAAGGCAGTAAGCTCATTGGCTGCATATGCAGCATGAACCAATCAGCTTGTGCCAAGTCGTTTAACTCTCTGAATATCATCAGTTACGTTAACACCCCGTCAGAATACGCCATCTAGAATTTCATGACTGAACTATATATTTAACTGATGGACTGTAGTCGATTACTTGTGGATTATTGTGATGTTTTTATCAGCTGTTCGGACTTTCATTCTGACGGCACCCATTCACTGCAGAGGATCTATTGGTAAGCAAGTGATGTAATGCTATTTCTCTAAATCTGTTCTAGAAATAAACTCATCTAAATCTTTGATGGCCTCAGGATGAGTATATTTTCAGCAACTTTTCATTTTTGGGTGAACTATTCCTTTAAGTCAGATCCATCTTTATTTTTCATTCATATTACCCACATACAAATGCAATGTGCTTCTGTGTTTACACAAAAATAGTGTGACCAGTATTAGCAACTTAATTTTCACATATACTGAATTGAAAAAAAAAAACAAGTTGGAACTACTTGTAGTCTAAACAAAGCCTAAATTCCCCCAATGTGTTACTTAATGGACTTGATATTAGAAATAAGCATAGATTTAGGCTGGTTGGTTATGTGAGTAAGATAAGCAGATGCTTTAATTTTAAACTCTACTTGTGGAAGGTGTGTTTTGTGGATACCTTAACTGTTTGATCACTCTCTTTTATTTTCTGGTGCTGTTGAAGATAATAAATAGGAAATCATACACTGTGACAAAACACTAACATTTTGAATTATTTAATGAATGTAAAGTTCAAAAGAACAGCATTTATTTGAAATAGAAATCTTTTTTAACATTTTAAATGTATTTACTGTTACTTAGATCAATTTCATGCATTCTTACCTAACAAAATATTTTTTTTAAAATAGAAATCTTAATGACCCCAAACCTTTGAATGCTGATAGCTAACACAGTTGTGTATGCTACTACTAAATACATTTTGTTGCTTTATTGTGAACTTAAAATGTGTTACATACAGTGGGTACGGAAAGTATTCAGACCCCCTTAAATTTTTCACTCTTTGTTATATTGCAGCCATTTGCTAAAATCATTTAAGTAAATTTTTTTCGTCATTAATGTACACACAGCACCCCATATTGACAGAAAAACACAGAATTGTTGACGTTTTTGCAGATTTATTAAAAAAGAAAAACTGAAATATCACATGGTCCTAAGTATTCAAGGTCTGAATACTTTCCGTACCCACTGTACCTTGTAGACTCAGCGATTTTAAAATAAACTCAGATCCATAGAAGACAGTGAAACTGTCTGTTTGCTGTCCTGTTGAAGCTCTTTTTCAGATTGGCAAAATATTATTCGAAATCTACTCCCCCTGCTCTCATTAAATCGTTGGAAATCCTTGTACGTTTCCCACTGGCGAACCTCCTTGAACTCAAAAATGTCCACTGCGAATACATAAAAACATACAGTATATAGTAAAATACAAAACACTACAGTTTATGACTAGTATTCCTTTGAATACATTTCCGTGCTTGCATAGGGCCTAAGCAATTCTTCTGAAAATTATAGAAACCAAAACACTTTCTTAGACAGTGTAAAATAACAATACTGCTTTTTTTTAAAAGCATTAATTCCTTTGTTTGATTCAAGTGTCTTTTCAAGGAAGCAACTTACACATTCTGACTATCCTGTCATCGGAGCGTATATCAAGGTCACCTGCATGCTCTTTGTAATGACCTGGACGGCGAGTCTCTCAACCCTCTGCTGATACACCATCATTTCAGTCCCGTCTGCAGATGCTCAATCACCCGTCTCCTCTCGTCCACTATCAGCTCACCACCATCATTGCATCTGACTCACATGGAGTAAAGAAGCAGAGCTTTTTGCATCAGATTGCTTTTCACTATGTTATGTTTATCAAAACAATTACTGTTAAAAGTTAGATCGTTCATGTGACATGTATTCAGACGCACTTACCTTCCAGTTTCGGTGTGCAAAGCAAACTGAGAAATTACATAGTGTCTTGAAAAAAATCACATCCTGTGGCATAATCAGCTTTCTTATTTCCTATGATGAAAAGCAAGCATTTCCAGATGACAAAAGAGAAAACTAAATCCCCAAACTGTCTACATGAAAGTTACCTGTGAGTTGGTTTAAAGTATAGTCAATACCTGTATTTGTAACGCCACAGGCCTCCAAACCAATATTTGGAACGCTGTATCTTCCAAATTCTATGTATAAAAATGCTCTCAAGCAGACATTTAAAATGTTGTAAGAAAAACAGTGGCGTGGACATTTTGTTTTAAAACAAAATTTGTGAGAAGAAGTGGATTTTACTGGAAAGAGAGATATATACTGATGTGCAATTTCCTGAACTTAACAGTAGTCACAAAATTTGCTTTCTAGGATTTTTGGTTTCTAGCTTTTAAAATCTCCACATTTAATGCCACTTCCTTGTGTGTTTTTCTTTTTTAGTTTTTTTTCACCCCAAATACATCTCATATTTATTTCAGTTTTAGTCCTTTTAGTACATAAAGTTAAACTAAATAAAAACGAAAAATTATTATTTTGCAAACTGCTGAAATAAACCTTTTTTGTATGTTTATTTTAAATAACCAATCCTTTATGATTTTGGTTACATTTAAATATAATAGATGCATGTAAGTATAAAACCCCTGCTACATGTATTATGCATTAACCATCATTAACCTCTTCTTGCAATGAGATGTAGTAGACAAATGTTGTAAATGACAGCATGATTGCTAAAAATATTTCACTGCTAAAATCAACAAGGTCAGACAGGCTTCTTATATCTTTGCGACACTGTGCACTTTTACCGCCCGTTTTATTATATTTTATATATGGAACACCTGGTTCTTGAGATTTTCTACTTCCTGTACTGGCATCGTCCATGGAAAAGTTATCAGTTGTAGTAAGAATGACCTGAGAAGACAGTTTTATTATTATTGTAACAATATATTGCAGTGTTTTTTTTGTAAATAGGCTGAAAATGTACTTTGTACATTGTACATTTTTCTTAGTAAAAGCTTTATAAGATAATATACAAATAAAAGTACAAAACAATATGTGTCCACATATTTATTTATTGAGTAGCTGTGTAATTATCAGGATAATGTACAAACAAATGGCAATTATACAAAAAAAAAACATTTATTTTGAGATAATGACTGTCAGACTGTGCATTATCGCTTGCATATCCAACCAAACCTGATAAAACTTCCTCAGCATATTAAAAACAAGATAGAAACCAAATAAATAACATCTTGTTTGCTATTTCAATTTTTAAGACAATAAGGAAAAGTTTAATACAGCTGCAAATGAAATATTACAATCAGATGAAGACGATAGATGAACAGTTTCACAGTTACAAAAAAAAAATCCTTCATGCAGTTTTCATGCCCTCAATTTAAAGAGTTTTACAACTTCTGGGTTGTAGCTACACTTTCCACAGAGTATACACCTATGAATATTGCTCAGATTCTCTTTGTAATGAATTCCTGTGTGAGCACAAGAGTGAGATGGCTGCAACTTCCTGTTGGGGCCTGTTAGGGAACCAGTAGTAATAGAACAGCGGAACCGAGAGGAAGAGACCCTTAAGAACATTAGAACCAGGCCGGAAGGGAACTAGACTTTCCTCATGAGTAGAACTTGCTGTTGTTGATTTTTTGCTGTTTATTCATCTTTTTTTCTGAGTACACGAACTGGTTGGAGTGAGTGTCGTAGAGGCAGAACTCATTGCTTAACTCCGCCTGTTTCTTTTGCAACTGTTTCGAGGAGGAGTAAAGTTCCTCCTGCGCTTTCTGAAGAAACAAGCGAGATATGATAGGGGATTTCCATTAAACTAACAGTATTCTCAATAAAATTAAATCTTTTCTTAAAATAAATGATTACATCATCAACAAATTGCCTGTTTCAAAATAGGTTCCTTACCTCCACCTGCTGTATATCAACATACACCAGTAGAGATGCCAGCTCTAGGTTTTCACTAAAGCCGTTCTTTAAAGGGACAGATCTGTACCCTGTGAAAGCAGCAACTCCGTATTTGTACTTAAATCTGCACAATGTTTCACAAAAATAACTGGCAATGAAGTTGATAGACTTACCTGAGCGAACACCTTTCACAGGGAACGTAGCCTGGGCCAGGAAATTGGGGTCAGAGAACATGTCTTCCTCAAAGACCACAAAGCGCAGAAAGGTGAGGTCTGGTTCATACACGCTGAAAGTAAATGTCTCCGAAGGCTGATTGTTCGGCCCGAGCCATATAGGGTTCAGTCCGTTATCATCTGTGGACACATTTAGTTATTTATTTTTTAAATGAAAAAAAAGAGAGAAAATGAATACTGGTGCCTCTCAAAAAAATTTGAATTATATATATATTTCAGGGAAGTCGTGGCCTAATGGTTAGAGTCGGACTCGTAACCCA